CAAATGAGAAGGGAGCACTCACTGGAGAAGACCCCGATGCTGGAAAAGATTGAAGGTCAAAGGAGAAGGGGACAGCAAAGGATGAGATGGTTGGACAATGTTATCAATGCAACAAACATGAAACTGAGCAAACTCTGGAGGACGATGGAAGACAGGAGTGCCTGGTGTGATATGGTCCATGGGGTCGTGAAGAGTTGGACTTGACTGTGTGACTGAATAACAACAAATAATTATGCACAGAGTGGAGATTGCAAAGAGAACTTTTTCTCCCTCTCCCAAAATACTATAACGAGGGCATCCAATGAAGTAGATTTAGGATGGATAAAAGGAAATAGCTCTTTACACAGCAAGTGATTGAAATGTGGCATTCACTGCCAGAGGATGTAGTGATAGCCACAGGCGTAGACAGCTTTAAAAGGAGATTAGGCAGATTTATCGAGAATAGGTCTAGCAGTGTCTACTAGCCATAATGACTAAGGGGAACCTCCATGTTCAGAAGCAGTAAACCTCTGAATACCAGTGCCAGAAGGCCAGATCAAGAGAAGGACTTGTCCTCTATGCCTGGTTGTTGGTCTTCAGAGTAACTGGTTGGCACTGTGTGAGACAGCATGCTGGACTAGATGGACCACTGGTTTGGAGAACCTCTTTAAACAATCCCAGTCACTTTCCGGTTACAGTAATGAGCTGTTATTCTAATTGTTCTCTTCTACACTGTCAAGGTTGCTGCCTAATTATCCTTGGCATTGTTCCGTGTTGTGAACTCTTCTGAATACTTTGGTGTTTTCCTTTTTAGATAGGGTTTCAATTAAAATATTGGACACGCTTGTCAAAATGAGTTGTTGAAGCTTTTAATGGAATGGAGATAAATAAGAGCCTATTAAGCCTCTATTAAAGGGAGAAGACATTTTTCTCCAGCCAGTTGGCAAACCTAACCAGGATCTACCCAGTCCTAGTTTGACATGCGAAGCACTACTACCACACTCTCCTCCCATTTCATACATACAAATACATAGAGGGATTTAAATGGTTGTTCATCGGATAGAAATTCAACAGACAAAGCTAATAATAGCCATTTCTGCAGTAGTGAATTCCCTGCATTGATTATTTTAAAATTGTGCATTATGTGAAATTTTCCACAGTAGAATTTTCGTCTCCAGGTGCAAACCCGAAGTTTTCTCCTTCTTACCCCACATTTTTGGAATCCCCAGTTTTAGTGAGTTCCAAAAACGTGGCATAAGGAGAAAACTTTGGGTTTGCGCCTGGTGAGGAAAAATCTACTGCGGGAAATTTCACATAACGCACAATTTTTAAAACATCAATGCAAATAATTTCACTGCTGCAGAAATGGTCTAGGTTACTTTTTCTTCATAGTGCTATTTTATAGCTTCTGAAAAGGAAAAAACACTAAGACCTTTTCTGCACCTTAGTGTTGCTGCTGTTTCCTGGCGAACTGAATCTCCAGCTGATGCTCTGTGGCACCCCTTCCACAAAAGGGCATTTATTTCAGGGATTTTTTTTCTTGAATTCTGCTTCTCATGTGTTCTGCATTTCCTTTGAAAAGGGATTGTGTGGCCATGTTGTCATGTGCATGGTCAGTGATGGAACCTCCTTTTTTTGTTCATGTGCAGTATGTTATAACATAACATTAAAAAAAAGACTGGCTGTATCATGGGGCCCAGCAGCTCCGGCGCGCCCGGCCATGGGGGAGCCGACGGCGGTGGTGCTGCTGCTGCTGCGGCATGTCTGGGCTGCGCAGAGGAGGAGGCTGCCACTGCTGGGAGGCCCCCGGCAGAAGCAGTGAAGGCAGGAAGGTGGTGAAGGCAGGCAGGAGGGAGCGAGTGCCCGGACCGGCAAAGCCAGTGAGGGTGGCGGGGGGAGGGAGGGCGCAGGGGCATGGGGATGGACCCCCCGGGAGACCCCCAATCCCTCCGTGTCTTCCTGGTCGGCCAGTGGCGCCAGCATGGCTGGAGGCACAGAGGATATGCAGTGCTCCCTTGCCTCCTGCACAGCCCCCCTCCCATGCGCACCAGGTGCTGGCACCCGAGCCAGGGTGGTGGGGGAGGAGAGAAAGGTGCTACGGCAGGAGGAAGGTGCGGGGGGGCTCAGCGCTGCTGCAACTCATGTTGCTGCGACTTTCAGGAAGCTTTGTTTCCCTTCCCCCCACATTTCCAGGCCCAGCCGGGAGGTTGGCATCTGTGCCTCGCCTAGGGCGCAGAAACACCTTGGGCCGGCCCTGGGGCCCAGCATGGTTTCTACCATTTCAAAGGTCCCCTGCAGCTTCTTAGTGGCCAACTAAGAAAATGGCTTCGGGGGGGGGGCAAAAAAAAGAAGAAATAAAATAAAATTGTGAACTGAAGAAAATCGATCAAACAACTGGATCTGTTCTGAAAAGGGTTTTGCTAAAGCTGGGGGGGGGGGAACCAGGGCAAAGAAAAACTGAGTCTGAAAAGTACTCGGTTCGATACATCACGACTCAGACAACAACATAAGGAACACGCGTTTACTCAGTACTTCACACTACAAAAGACAAATGGCCAAGTGGCCAACTATATACATATCCAAGGGAACTCCCCTGGATCCCATTGGGGGGTTTGAATCTCCCGCCAAGGTTTCTATTGGTTCCCCTATTGGACCTTAGGAGCCTAGCTCCTACTGTTCTTTAGGAATCAAGCTCTGCACGCCTGGCCACCGTCTGCTGGCGGTTCCCAGGACACAACAGAGTCAAAGAACCAAAGCCCAAAATATGGCAAACTGCATGTTAACTCAGGCTTGTGCTGTGTTACTAACATCACAAATGTACTTTTACCATTAAACTTTTCCTAATTCTTGTTTTAATCTGTCGGAACAGCTCCTTTGTGGTTTGTAGTGTGCCACTGTCACCCGCCTGGTAGAGTCCCCCCCCCCACCTCTCCTTCCCTTTGTTCTTATTTTTGTATGTAATCTGTTTAGCAGGCCAGTTGCTTCCTTAAGCTCTAGATTTTCTATATTCAATGTCTTTCACCATTGCAACTTTGGATAAAATGAAGTATGGATGTCTTAATCTTTTGCTCCCTCACTTAACGAGGGGGGGGGGTGTAGTGCCATCAAGTAGCATCTGACTTCTGGCACTGGCAACCCTATGAATTAATGACTTCCAAAACATCCGACCATTCACAGCCTTGATCAAGTCTTGCAAACTAAGGGTTGTGGCTTCCTTTATTGCATCAATCCATCTCACATTGGGGCCTCCTCTTTTCCTGCTGCCTTTAATTTTTCCTAGCATTATTGACTTTTCCAGCAAGTATTGTCTTCTCATAATGTGACCAAAGTACAATAGCCTCGGTTTAGTCATTTTAGCTTCTAGGGAGAGTTCGGGATTGAATTAATCTAGAACTCACTTATTTTTAATTTTGGTGGTCCGCGGTATTTGTAAAGCTCTCCTCCAACACGTTTCAAATGAATCAATTTTCTTCTTGGTCTGGAGCCATAAAAATAAAGGGTTTATTGAGCACCTGGCAGTCCACAAATGGCCCGGAAACCACAGATCTGACCATGCCGATTGTGCTAATAAACTATGGAGCCAAGCCTTTAAGCAAAGTGTATGTGTCTACATATGTACATTATGAAAACAAAACTACTGTCTAATCCCTATTCATCCTATCCAAGATGTAAATGGCATCTCTTTAAGTTTACATTTGTTTTCCGACCTTCCTTTAAGAACCTCAGAGTGGCTTACGTCATTCCATGTAACGGAGGAATAAGTTCCTTATCTGTCATTAGGCCAAAGTTCTCTTTTTCCATACATCCAGCAGCTGTTTTTGACAGCTTTTGCACAAAGGGAGGGACTACCCCCCCCCGCAATAATTGCACTTGCTCAGTATACACCTCTTTTGAGAGTTAGCACAGTACAATCTTGCTATTTTTTCTGCTCTTTTTCCTTGCCTATTTTACATCCCCCCCCCCCCAGAAATGAGTAACTAACATCCTCGTGTTCTGGTGAGAGAATGCTAATGGGGATCTGCCTGGTTCTCAGCATTTGCCCTAAAACAGAAGTCTCTTACTCTGTAACTCTCTGCAACATAGAGGAGAGCCTTTCTGAAGAATTACTTCAAAACCAAAACTCATTTCAATATTGGGAGCTTTGCTTGGTCTCTTGAGTTAGAAAGTGCTTTAGCTTAGTTAACAGAGCCAGATGTAACATTGACCTTAAATGGTAAAAGCTCCCAGAGTGAGCAGAAGAGAGAGAGGGAAGCTTTCCTGAAGAGGGAAAGCAAGAGGAATAGCTCAGTTTTAGGTAAGCAATCTCCATAAACCAAGAGTAAACAGCTTTTCTTCAACTAAGATCCAAAACGGAACAATTTTTTCTCTCTCCTTTAAAGGTACAGTGTACTCCATTGCTATACTTTTACATGGGTGAAGTTTATCGGTGTGCTAGATTTCCATTGCTGTTTAAATAGCAATAGCAAGGCAATGTGCTTGACTAGATTCTTGTGTTTTTGTATATTATTCTGGAAGTACACAAGTAATGCTAAAGAAATGTCAGTGCTGGTCTATGATGAAGTCATATCCGTAAAGTAAGTAACTTTAGCCAGTAAAACGTGCCCTTTTGGTTTAGAATCCTTAGCAGCTGTTTTCTACTTTGCTCACAATCTAAGATCACTCGCTGCTACTCTGTTTATAAACAAGTATGTGTAAAACGAGCTCACTCACTGTAACAGTAACATGCAGTTGTATGAGCTTCTTTTGCCACAAGTTCACTTCAGAGTCTGCAGCAGAACTGCTTGCTTTGTTGGATTGCCTTCTTGCCTCTGGAACCTGGCTTTAATTTGTAATCATCGTTTAAAGTATGCAGTTGGTATTTTGGTAACTATAGGCAAAGATAAACGCATATTTCACTTCCATCAACTATGGACTGAAAGTGTTACGTTTAGTTCCTGTGCACATGCAGTTATATTTGGGCTTTGGATTAAAACCGAATACATTGTGTATGCGATGTCATTTCTGTCGACTTATTTTCTTCTGTGATTCACGGGCACTGCTTGTCATTTGGCGTTGAGTAACTTATTCCATGCATTTTATTATATTTCAAGAGTATGAATTCCGTGTGGTACAAGCTTAATCTGGTATTCTGCTATCCCGTTACTTAAGAGATCTGATAACTAGTCCAGGTTCTTGTTCCAAGCTATTAGAGGTGTGGAGGATCAGTGAGAAGAAAGCTGGGAGTCTGCATATAGAATATCCTCCAGTCCTTCCACCTCTGAATCCCAGAATTAAAGGGCCTGACAATTCATGACAAAACTTTTCTCTCTAAAATGCTGGCCTGGTAGAGATTTTCTAACCTAACACCAGAGCAGGAAACTGTGATCTTTGGGGGGGGTTGCTACCTGAAAAGATGTCCGGTTGGCTCCACCGTTGTGCCCTGTTGCCACTTGGGTACCATTCTGCTGCCATTCCTTGAATGCTGTAGGGTATTTATTTTGTTTTAACAAGTCTTAAGTGCATCTCCTGCAGTTTAGAGAGATTTTAAATAACGTGACTATTTTTAAATGCACGCTGCATTTGAGTACAGACCCAATTTAGTGACATCACTAATGTAACAAAATATCAGCAGTACTCATCATTTTAGTGCTATGAATGTGTAAGTATTCTGTCATTGCCTTTATAGGCTTTTTATGGTTTAATTAAAGTTTTCAAATAATCTAATACGACTTGTTTTTCTGTTTCGTTTTTAGCATAAGTAATGTGTAAATAGAAAATAATTGCCCCTTATGGTGAGAGGCCAAACAATGGAAAGTCTCTTCCAAGCACACTAATATTCAGTGGCACACAAAGTAGCCCACTATCTGCAGGTAACTGTGAGATGAGAGCAGCAAGACTGCAGGATTGCCCACCATCATCATGATACTGTCCAGGGCATCTTTTTGACTGCTCACAGTGAACAAGTCAACCTGGTTATGTGAACTGGAACACATATCATCATGAAGAAGCTTTTGACTGTTAAATAAGCTTGATTTTGTAATGTCTTTATTCATTTATAGTCAGCCTTTCTCTCCAAGACTTGAGGCCGATTATAATGAAAAACAGTGTACAAAGGTCAGTATTATATATACAACCCATAAAATCCACAGTTGTTAAGAGTTCACCCTGAAGACGACTCTTTGCAATACTGAATGGAGATTCTGTATCAAAGCTTTGTCTCCAGTGTGCCACAATTTATTTATTTACTTAGATATTTTTATCCCATCTTCCCTCGTGGTTCGAGGTAGTTTACAAAAATAATTTTAAAACATTTCCAATTAAAACCAAAATAAGATACCAAACCTAATCTCTCTCCCTCCCTCTGAATCTTTCATGATTTTCATCTGGTATACATGACAACTGATCAGGAAGACATGCAGGATAAAATCTGCTTCTGATGGATTTTAATGCAATGGAAAAAATGACCAGCTCTCAAACCTTCTGCTGCTACTGCTTTCCATGTTCTGTACCAAGCTTTCTGAGACTACAGAATGAGAAAATGGCCATAAATTATTACCACTTCCTGTGCTGAGGAAGGTCAATGGCATGTACCCTTACAGCAAGCTGCAACCAGAGCACTGACAGAGATGTAAACAGTTTAAGTATTTTTAAAGCCCCAAGCTGAACAAAGACAGATACTTTACTTGGCTCAATTGGATTCCATTTCCATTTCAAGGGCACAAGAAACTTCAAAAATAAATATAGTATATAGTCAACAAAAATAGCACTCTGCACTTTACAGCAAATGCATCAGGTCCTGCACATCATGGCTAAGGCTCTATAAGGAAGCTTAGTGTTAAAAGACTGTCATACACTCTCAGAAATCAATACAGCCACCATATAGCATTGTTCAGTATAGCTATCCCCCTAAAACCAGAAACTGAAAGAGAGTTGTTTTCCTTAAGCCACCTACTGACCTCGTGGCTGCGATGAGACCTCAGCCAGCAGCTTGACTCACAGCCATTATACAGTACCAGGTCTTTGGAACTGACATGCCATCTGTCTCTCATCCTGAACAAAAAAGCATAGGCGCACACCATTTTTGACAAGCCACCAGTTTCTATCCATCCTCATTTTTATCTGGCCTTCCTGCTCAGGGTGGCATACGTTCTTAATGTCTGATAGTCAGGGGCAGAGGTCATTTCGGGGGGGATCGTGGGGGATCGCAGTTCCCCCGGGTGAGGTACGAGGGGCGGGGCACATGACAAAGCCCCACCCCCTGCTTCTGGCCGCCCCGCTTCCGGCCCTCATTCAGCCAGGAGGAGGCAGGAGAAGAGGGAGGGTAAGTTGCTTCCTCCCTGCCTCTCCCCACCCCTGCCTGCCTGGGGCCAGGGAGGGCCTTCGCGGGGCTTCCTTGCACTCCCGCCAGCCTTGCAGGTCCACCGCCGGGCCCCTCATGGGGTTCGGCAGTGGAGCTGCAAGGCCGCCGGGGGCCGGGACCGTTGGGGACGGTGTGTGTGGCCTTCTGACACACTTCCGGTGATGTCCGGGGGTGTGACCTTATGACACACTTCTGGTGATGTCAGGGGGTGTGGCATATGCTAATGAGTTATGCTAATGAGTTCCCCTAGCTCTTTTTCTACGAAACGACCCCTGGTTTCTACGAAACTTATTTGTATATGCCACACCCCCTGACATCACCGGAAGTGTGTCAGAAGGCAGCACCCACCACTCAGGCTCCACTGGACTGTTTTGGATTGCTAGTTATTGGGGGGGAACGTGCAGATCTGTCCTTGCAGAGGAGGGAGAGCTTGTACCTAAATAAAACCTGGTCTTAAAGGTGCCACTGGACTGTTTTGGATTGCTAGCTATTGGGGGGGACACACGCAGATTTGCCCTCACAGAGGAGGGAGAGCTTGTACCTGAAGGTGGGCCGGGGGAGGCTGGAACTTACCTGGCTGCTTCTTGCTCCTCGTGGCCCAACTCAGGGCTGCTGGGAGCAGGGGGCAGGGCTTGTTGCATGTGCCCACCCCTTGGGCTCCTTACTGCCGGAGCTCCGCTCCTGTGCGCTCCTGCAGGAAATGACCCCTGCTGATAGTATAGTTGTTGAGCATTCTAAAATAAATGACGTGGTAGTTTTTCCTTTTTAAAACTTAATCCCATCTAGACCTTGGAATTTCTTTCCATTTCTGTTCCAGTGCTCATCTCTGAACATGTCTTAATAATAGTGCCGGAATATGTGTAGAGGACCTGTCTACCCCTACCTGGCTGCCATAACTAGCCTCTTACCATTCGTGCTTCCTTTACATATGGTATGACTTCAGGCTTGAACTGAAAAACTTATTTTAATGATAAAGGAGGGGCTTGTCTTAAAGTGAAGCAGAGCTGTGAGCTATAGGAGTTAAAATGAAAATGTAAGTGGTACAGGCACAAGGTATGCTGGGAATTCTACAAGCCTATCTCTTTATGACACTGGATGCTGTTGGCTGTATATAAAAGTAGTAAAATAGGAAAAGTTGATTTTATCGCTATATTGAGCTCATTGTGGGGGGGAAATACAATGAGCTCTAGAAAGAGGGTGGGGTCAACGATTTTGTATCTTGCAGACAGAGTAAACACAGAACAGTGTTTTGCAGTGTAAAGAACTAATGTGGGAGTGAAGAACAGCATACCTTATGGTAGTAGAGAGTAATTGTTGTCCGTGGTCCTGGACACATTTGACAGTTTCAGAGTGTGGTGTCTGTGGCAGTGTACCTGTCTCAGGTCCCACCCCTCCTCAAACCCACCTTCTCCAGGCTCCACGCCTGAAATCTCCAGGAATTTCTGTACCTAAAGTGGGCAACTTTATCTCCTCCCCTCTCAGCAGCCTCTTCCTAGGCAAAGTTCTGTCTTTTTCGTTAGTGGGGAGCAAAGCAGCTTACTTCATTCTCCTCTTCCATGTTGTGATATGTACAGCAAACCTGCAAGGTAGGTTAGGCAGAAAGTCCGTGGCTGGTCCAAAATCACCTAGGCAGCTTCCATAGGGAGGCTCCTAACAGGAGCAAGCAGCCAGGGCTAGTGAAGTAATGCCAGTCAGGAGGCATGAAGTCTCCCTGAGAGTGCTGGCAGTTGGGAGCTATAACTTCAACCTCCGGCAAGGATACTACTTAGTATTATTTTAATATTAATGCCATGTGCAGTGGCATGTGGCAATTGTGATATTTTCTTGGGAGAAGGGGAGTGCTTATTTCCTTCCATTACCAATGTACTGGCCTGGGTGATATATTTTCTTAAGACTACTAAGCATCAGGGGTCGTTTCGTAGAAAAAGAGCTAGGGGAACTCATTAGCATAACTTATTAGGATATGCCACACACCCTGACATCACCGGAAGTGTGTCATAAGGCCACACACCCCGCCCCCAACGGTCCCGGACGCCACCGGCGGCCTTGCAGCTCCACTGCCGAGCCCCATGAGGGGCCCGGCGGTGGACTTGCAAAGCCGTCGGGGGGGCAAGGAAGGGAGTGCAAGGAAGCCCCGCGAAGGCCCTCCCTGGCCCCAGGCAGGCAGGGGTGGGGAGAGGCAGAAAGGAAGCAACTTACCCTCCCTCTTCTCCTGCCTCCTCCTGGCTGAATGAGGGCCGGAAGCTGGGGGGCCGGAAGCAGGGGGCAGGGCTTCGTCATGTGCCCCGCCCCCCATACCTCACCTGGGGGAACTGAGATCCCCCGCGATCCCCCCCCCTGAAATGACCTCTGCTAAGCATCATATTTAGCACTGAAGAAGCACTTCCTATTAATCTCCCTAAACCCTTATAACAAGCTTGTAGGGCAGTCCAGTGATAGGAATGCTCTCTGACAAAGAGCTGGCTAACATGGAAGGACCATGAGATACCCCTAGAGCTGAAATCATAATAATAGGCTATCCAGCTGGTGGCTCGTTCTTCTAACAGCTGTCCCATTCCATCAGTCCAGTTGTAGGAAGGGATGCTTGTTTTTTTCATCCAGAGGACACCAATTTCATAGTGCGGCTTTCAAACTGCCTTCGTTTATTTACATTTTTTTTAGAGCAGAAGGACTTGTGAGTTTGCTATTCTGAGTTTCCAGGGATGAATCTTGAGAGCCATCCTCCCACAACCACCACCTTGCATCTGCTCTGAGTATAAAAGCACATGCCAGTCTGACAATCAAGGGGATGCTATAAAAAGGTCTGTTGCTCTGTTTAAATGCCTACACTTTGTTGCTATGGCGATTACATTCCTTCACTGATGTGAGAATAGCTTGTTGCCATCTCTTTTGCGGACAGGAAGTTTCACATGTAAAAATCAATAGTACTTAGGACAGCATTCTTGCACCATCATCCACCTACCATGTAAAGTCATAATAATAGTGTCGGAGCATGGCGGAGAGGGTCTGTCTACCCTCTGTATAAGAAGCAGTGCTCCCTATTTGCTTTCTGCTATGTTCTCTGGTGTAGTGCCTGCTTGGCACCGTGGCAAACGTTTTGGTGTAGTTTGGTATAGTGGCTCTAATCTGGAGAACCGGGTTTGATTCCCCACTGGGTGACCTTGGGTCAGTCACTGTTCTCTCAGAGCTCTCTCTGCCCCACCTACCTCATAGAGTGCCTGTTGTGGGGAGAGGAAGGGAAGGAGATTGTAAGATGCTCTGAGTGAAGGGTGGGGTATAAATCTAACTCCTCTTCTCCCCCCGCCCCCCAATTCTGGCTTACAGGCAGGCAGTATTGCATGCTGGCTGGAGGTCACATGCCGGAGTTCTTCTCCTCTTTCCCCCTCCTCAGTGCCAGGCAGTGGCTGACATCACACAGGGTTGCCAGGTTCCCCCTGGCCACTGGTGGAGGATAGGTAGGGTTGCCAGATCCAGGTTCAGAAACTCCAGGAAATTCAAGGATGGAGTCTGGGGAGAACAGGGACTTTAGTGGGATACAATGCCTTACAGTCCACCCTCCATCATCTTTTTTCCTCCAGGGAACTAATGTCTTTAATCTGGAGAAGAGCTGGGATTCTGGGGGATCCCCAGGTCCCACCTGGAGCCCGGCATCCCTATGACAGGTGTGTGACTGGAATCAAATAACAATAGTATAAGAAAAGGGCAGGCTTTGGAACAAGATGGATGTGATTTGAGTGATGTCGAGGAGAATCAG